CAGCACAGGGCAGGGCAGGCTCCAAGGACCCCGCTAGAGAACATGCACCTGCTCCTGATGGTCTTCTGGGCCTCCTGGGGTGTGCAGGCTGAGGGAGGAAGTAGGAGAACCTTCCTCAGTTTCCTTTCATATGTGGAATCTGCCCCTTAAAAATGAAGCACAGAAGCACAGAACAGGTTCTGTTGTGGGTGGTACCAGTGGGAGGGGATATGGATGTGTGCGACTGTGGCCCAAGTATTTTACATACATGCATGGGAATGGAGCACTGAAATCTGTGAAACTGTTCTAAGGGGGATGAAGGGCATTGACAGAATTTTACTGGGGAAATTCGCATGTGTGTATGGAAACATCCCATGTATAGACCTCTGTGTACAGCCGCTGTGTGTTAGTACAGTGGGGAGAAAGAGCTCCTTAGGTAGACACACGTGTAAGACCTATCAGGGTGGGACTTAGCTGAGAAAGTCTCCGAGGGCCTCTGGGCCTCACTGAGGAAGAGGTAGGAGCTGCCTGCGGTGTTCAGGACAGGGGATGGTGGGCAAGGCTTCCTTGAGGGGAAATGTGCAGAGTCTGCCACCGCTGGAGCAGGAGGGAGGACTGAGTCAACTGTTCACAGCACTTGTCATTCACTGCATATGCTACCTCAGTCCTCCTCTGCTTGGGGCAGGGGATGGTGGGGGGGGGGGGGAAGGGGAGTGAGAGGAAGGGGGACTCCTAGAGGCTGCAGGTTTGATTACAGAGCCAAGATCTCTCCAGAGATCTGAAAGCTAGCAGCCAGTTTTTAAAGCCAAGTGATATATATATATACTCCCACAGTTCAAGAAGTGAGCAGTCAAGACTGTAAGGCACAAGGAGATCCCTGCATTCTCCTGTAGGGGGAGGTTCTCATCCTGCCTTGAATTGTTTGAGATCAGTGGAGCCGAATCTAACGGAAATAGCAATAATCCCAGTCTCAACAAAATCTCCAAAGAGGTGGGTCCTTTTCAAAGAATGGATTTCATTCACTTAAATCTCTACTGTTTCTTTACACACCACTGTGGCTTGGATCCAGAATGTTCTCCAAGGGCTGGCCTCCCCAGGGAGGTGTCCCGGGGAGGGGATGGACTCTTTGAGAGGCTGTGTCTCGGGGGAGGCTGGTAGATCGTTATGGAACCCCAGCCCCTTCCTCTCTCCTCTTTGCTGCTTAGCCGTGAGGTGGGCAGCTTGTTCCAGTGCTCCCCACAATCATCGCTCCTCAGTGCCTCCACCAGAGCCCTAAAAAGAATGGATCCGCCAAAGACGGACTGGATCCTCCAAAACAGAGCCAAAGTAAGCCTGCTCTCCTTAAAAATTGGTTCTCTCAGCGTGCTCATTAGTGATGATATGAAACTTGAAATCAGTAGCAAGATAGCTAAAAAAGTTTGCAAAATATCAGAAAAGAGAAAAAAAAGATATTTTTAAACCAAATGATGAAAAATAGAGGATATAGTTATGGCAGTTGTTAGAGGATTTATTATTTATACACATGATTTGTATACATATATATATTATATATATATATATACACACACATATATCTTGGTTAAGAGACGTGTATGCGTACAGATCTGTAGTCATCATCACACTTAAGGGTAGAAGGTTGGAAGCTTCCTACCCAGGCCGGGAAGAAGTCAAGTACGCTCACGCTGACTCCTATCCAACACTGTGTAATTTGCTCGAGACACACATCCCATGATAAATCTGGGGAGTGAGCCCACGGAGAGGAAGTAGTGTCCTCAGAGTCAGTCAGCAGGCAAGGTGTGGATGGTAGTCCCAGAAACAGAAGCCTGCACACAGCCCCTGAATGGAAGCTGAGGAGGTGGGGGATGAGGGGTCTCAGGCCCCCGAGTGGCCTTTCTTAGGTTCCTTATGTTATAGGGGATTTTGATTGTGAGCTACAGAGAAGGCACATTTTAAGTGTTCGAATTGGGAGTCTTTATTAGGAAGCCGGCGACTGTAGGCAGACACGTCCACCAGAAACCTGCAGCCTCAAAAAAAAATACTGTTTAGGAAACTGAGCCACGAGAGTAATAGAGTAAAAAAAAGCGCAGAAAACAATCTCAACAAACCGGATCAATTCTAATGGAGAGTTGAAGTGAGACACCATGGTGACCGAGGAGAGTCAGGAGACACAAGGCCTGGTGCAAAATGGTGGCTGAGCCGGTGGGCAAGCAGAGACTAAACAGGCTCATGGTCGGGGCAGGGTTGAGAGTTCAGAGTCTTGCCAGTTTATGGTACAGGTTTCGCAAGTCCAATAATCTGTTTTCCAAACTGGCGTCTCTGCCTCTAGAAATTCAGGCACACCTATCACCTGGGGGTAGGACTCCACCTCCAATCGTTTTTGGAAATCCCCTATCATCCACCACATTGCCAAGGTGCTTGCCAGTGACACCCAGGATCTTTGTTTCACTCAGGAGCCACAGAACCCATCCCAGTGTCGCTGTGTATCTTGTCCCCAGGCCCCAGCTGAAGTCCCTATCCTCACACATTTGAAGCCTGGAGTGAAGAGGAGCCTTCACTTCCACAGATGAGGGGGCAGATTTGGAGAACAGACTTCAGGGCCACAGTGGGCACCAGCATCCCTCCGTCCTGGTGGAGGCTTCTTACCAGGGGGTCGGCCTGGGACGTGCTCTATCATACCTGGTATTATATGGGAATTCCATTGTGAGATACAGAGAAGATGCATTTTGAAAGGCTGACTAGGGAGTCTTCATTAGAAAGCCGGTGACTGCAAATAGCCACATGTCCCCAAAAAACTTAACGTCTCAAATACACTTAACATCATTAGGAAACTGAGCCACGAGGGTAGTAAAGAAAGAGCAGAAAAACAATCTCAACAAACCAGATCAACTCCAGTGGAGAGTTGAAGTGGGATAGAAGGAGAGTCAGGAGACACAAGGCCTGGCACAAAATGGCAGCTGAGGTGTTTGGGACCTGAATAGGGTCATGGTCAGGGGGGGCAGTGTCACAGGGAGCTGGAGCCTTCAAAGAGTTTTGCAACTTCATGGTACAAGTCTGGCAGTTCCAGTAACCTATTGTCCAAGTCCAGGTCCCTCCCTCTAGGAATTCAGGCACATCTATCACCTGGGGGTGGGGGTGGGGTTTCACCTCTAAGAGTTTTCAGAAACTCCCCATCATCTACCAAGATGCCAAGATGGCGCCAGCTAGACCCAGTATGCATAGTTCACTGAGACACAATTGTGGAGTAAGTGCAACTCACACCGCACTGCTTCCCTCTGCTGTTTGCCATGTCCCCAGCAGGTGGATGCTCAGCCAGAGAAGCAGAGTTTGTCCAGAGGTCTTACTCTCCCTGCAGGAAGGCAGGTGGCTGGTGGACATGCCCCATGGGGGCAAGTCACAACCTCCCTCCCCACCCCCTGCCCAACCCTGGAAAGGAACTGCTCTATTCCTAATTGTCTACATACCTTTCCCTGTGTGTTCAAACCTGTTTCGGCTCCTGTGTTAGGCACCAATTCCATGCAGGTTTTAAAACAAAACCACCTATTTTCTTTCAGCAGTTGTACAAAGGGGTTTGCATTCCATTAGTCAGATTATGAGTACAATGCGTCTTGATCAATGTCACCCCTTCTACCGTTCTTCTCCATCTTTCCCCATCCCATTCCTCTCCTTCCATGCAGTTTTGATTCCAAAGGATTGATAGTAAGTTCTTTAGAGTGTGTGTCATTAACTGTTTTCTTTGCTCTATCTGGGAAGAATGGACAAAATGAAATGATATTTTTTTTCTCCATGCACAAGCATGGTCAAGTTTATTGCAGGCATGCATCTTGCAATTTTTTTTGTATTTTGCTATTGAACTTACTAAAATTTCCTGAATATTGTTGTTGTTATTATTAGGTCTTGCTATGGCTGGGACCACCACACCCAACATGCTTTATTGTTTTTGTAACACTGCAATCACACATTTTTCTTATTTCTACTTGTCATTGGTTGTTGGTAATGTAGAGAAAAAGCTTTTACTTTTTGCATGCTCACCTTAAATCCAGCCATCTTGTCAAACACTAATACAATTTCTGGTCTGTTTTTCTAGTCTAGTAAATGGAAGGTTTTGTGTCATTTATATGTGCATAGATATGTTTCTGCATACAGATTTTATTTGGGTAACAGCTCAACATTTCAATTATGAGCAATGATTGGATAGCTTCTAACTTGGTTGTATTCCTTAACATTTCAAAGTTTCTAAGCTTCAATGTGAGTTTTGAGAGAATGGCTACTCAAGATTCTCATCTGGAGATCAATACTTTCCTGAGGCCTTTTGTGCATGCTCATCTCTTTAATATTATTACTATATTTTATTTCGTTGTAAAGGTGCTGTACAGAGAAATTACAGTTACCTAAGTAAGGTAATGAGTACATTTCTTGTCGAACATTTATCTGTTTATCTCCCACTATCCCTTCCCCTGTCTTTTCCAGGGTGTCTCACCTCTTTAGATAGAGGTTATTCACCTTTGCATCTCAACTGCTCTAATGAACGCTGGAGTGAACCAAAAATGAAGAGAGAAATAATTTTGGCAACCTCATAGCCTGACAGATGGTGAAACTGAGTTCAAGAGTGGGCAGAGGAGAAGCCGAAGAACTGGGGTAGAACGCCGCCGCCCTGGCTCACGAGCCATCCCTCCTCTCCAAAGTTCCAGGTGGTTTGGGGCTGTTCATGGTCCTCACTGGCTCACCCCAAGAAGAACAAAGTTATGTTCAGCCACCTGGAGGTTCACACACAGCCAGCTGGAAGTTTATAAACACGCTTACTTTCCTGTCTGGTTTAGCAACATGAAGACCTTACTTTGCATCCTTGGATTGTTCCAAAGAAGCACCAATTGCTAAAGACCATTGTGTCAGGTTTGCTCAATCCTTACTAGCTGACCCCCCCCCCCCCTGCCACTTTCCTCTCTCTCCTCCCTCAGCCCTTGGATTTCAACATGACTGGCAGGGGTGGGACAGGGAAGGCAAATAAGAGCCGAGCAGGTTCTGGTTTGCACAGGGCTGAAGCCTGCCACCGAGAGAGCATCATGGTTCGGTCAGTGGCCTGGGCAGGTACGTGGGCTCGGATGGGGAGAGTGGGCTGGGCTTTCGGATCCATGGACAGAAAAGGAAGGGCATAGCCTGTAGCTCCTTGCTGCTGTCTTCAAGGAAGACTCTGGAGAACTGCAGAAGGTTGGATCCTTGCTTCCTGGCTTGCTTTCTCTTGGGTCTTCAGCTTTCACCCCAAGAGCCTTTGGGTTGTACGCGAAGGCTTTCTTTTACAGGCTGTAAGTCCTCCTGTCCTGGAACCCAAGTCAGTGAGCCCTGCTGTGGGGGCATTTGCTGTTCCTTGTCAGGTCCTGCCTCTTGGCTCTGCATGATTCTCTCCAACCCTATGTGGGTTTTCCTGCAATAGGGCAGCCTGGGGCCTTTGAAATTTTCATGAAGCTTTTATTAAGTTAACAGGAAAAGCCAAGGTCACCAGAAAGGGGGAGAGGGGAGAGAAATCTTTTTTTTTTTTTTGTACCATACTAAAGCTTGAACTCAGGACCTGCACGCTGTCCCTTAGCTTTTCCATTCAAGGCTGGTACTCTACTACTTAACCCACAGTTCCACTTCTGGCATTTTGCTGGTGAATTGGAGACAAGAGTCTCAGGGACTTTCCTGCTTGGGCTGGCTTCAAACCTTGGTCTTCAGATCTCAGCCTCTCCAGTAGCCAGGATTCCCATCTCTGTTGTCCAGCTTTCATGTAGGTTTTGGCTTTGGGGTTTATTTTATTTTTGGTTTTTTTTTTTTTAAGTTTAAAGGTCATCAGAAAACAGGAGAAACCTTTTTGAAGGCGTCTGCCAGCCCTTGGTCTCCAAGGGTGCCAGGCTGTGGGAAGGAGCAGGAAGTTGTGAGCTGGGAGGGCGGGCAGTGTGTGTGTGTGTGTGTGTGTGTGTGTGTGTGTGTGTGTGTGTGTGTGTGTGGAGTGGGTGTGGCGATGAGTCCTTCCTCCCTTCCCTCCTCTGTGGGCTCTTCCCAGCAGTTTCCCCAGATCTTTACAAATCTACACCATCTTCCTTGCTTTCGAGCAAGGACAACCTCAGCCCATGGAACCTTCTATTAGCTTCCAGACAGAAAGGGACTCTCTGTGGCCTGGCCTGGGTGACAGGATGGACACTGGATCCATTCTGGGAAACCAGCCCTCACTACCTCCTCCACTCGTGTTCTTCCACCTGCCTCTGGGGCCTGGGGTGGTGTGGATGACATCCTGACCTTAGCCTTGACCTGGTGACCTCTGCCTTCCCTCTGATGTTTCAGGTGTGATGGCTCTGCTGCTGGTCCGGTGGGGTAAGTGTCTATACCTTCAGGCAAACCCTGCCCTGGCTTTGCTATGCAACCCTCCCCCAAACACACATCCACATCCACATATGCAAATGCACACACACGTGTGTACCGAGCACTTTTGCTAGATCTCAAGGGAATGATTACAAACTGCAGAGCTGACACACACGCTACTGCTTCCATTCTACAAGACCCATCCACGGCCCAGGGCTATGGACAGGACAAGAGCTCCCTGTGTCCTTCCTACGTCCTGGAGTATATTCTCTCTGTGGAGCCCTCCTTCCTCCTTTTGCTATGGGGTACCCCAAATTTTCCTGTAGGTCACTGCAGGCCACACCCTCACCCTGCCAGCCAGTTCCATTCTAGATGACCTCTGCATGGGTCAGTAACCACCCAAAATCATCTCCTCCTCCTCCTCCTCCTCCTCTTCCTTCTCTTCCTCTGGAGCCTTCTGGGTAGCCTAGGTTGGCCCTTGGTGCTCCTGAGCTTTCTCTTGAACCCCTCCCCTCCTCTCCCTTCTCAATGGCTGCGCGGGGATTGGGGTTACAGAGGGACCCTGCTGGGGAAAAGGGAAGCACCGATACCCTCTAGTCCGAACTTAGCATCCCACCCCACCCTGCCATAAAATGTTGGCCTCTCCAAATCACCCTATCATAGAGCTTGGGGTGAGAAGAGACCTCAGGAAACCCAATCATTTTAGGTGGGCCAGGGCCAAATAAGAGATGGAGCCAAAATCTGTTTTGGCAGATATATAAGTGAAGACCAGTGTTTTTGCTTTCTGATGTCCTGGTCCATCCAGAACTGGGCTGACCTGCAAGGGGTCAGCCATCACTGCTGCCTCCTCTCCCTCCCCCACCCCTGCCCCAGGTAACAGAGGCTTCCCTTCAGTCTTCCCGCAGAGATGTCAGAGGCAAGCTGCCTCTGCATAGGTAAGAGAGGCTCTTCATTAGAATCTTAGCAGTGAGGCTGATGAACACAGATTGTCTACAAGGGTGAGCAAACAAGTGTAAGTCACTTTAATGCAAGATTAAAGAAGCATAATGCCAGGCCTGTCACTGGGGCGTCCTCTATGCTGCTCCATGCATTTGCATTTTGATTAACATGAAGTATTCCCAGCTGCAATAGCAAAGTTCTGCCTCCCTTCCTTTGGCAGATGCATCAGCCATGTTTAATTCCCCCTGGGATCTCACTGGTCTTCACTTCCATGAAGTTTCAGGCCTGGGAGGGGGATCTCCTGGGGCTGAAAGAAGCCTGCCTGCCAGATTCTGGCCCTGGGGACCTGGGCTCTGAGCTGACTACCTTTCAAGAATGCCAGGGGAGGGCTGGGAAGGTAGTGGGAGAGTGCTTGCCTAGCATGCATGAAACCCTGGGTTCCATTCCTCGGCACCACATACACAGAGAAGACCAGAAGTGGTGATGTGGCTCAAGGGGTAGAGCGCTAGCCTTGAGTCAGAGAAGCCCAGGGACAGTGCCCAGGTCCTGAGTTCAAGCCCCAGGACTGGCAAAACAAAACAAAAAGAATGTCAGGGGTCAGGAGATTTGGATCTGACCCCCTTCCCCCATCCCTGCGCTCTGGGCAGCCATGCTGGCCACACAAGCTCCCAAGCCTCTGCTTCTGTAGTTACGGAGGTCCTGCACTCCTAGGCATCCTGAGAACCCCCAAACTGGCCTCTGGAAGCCATTGCTAACTATTCAGTACATGTACCCCATTTCTGGTGTAAGTCAAAGCCCTGACCTACTGTAGGTGTGTGCGACAGACAATCCAAAGTCACTATCTGCCTCGGAGCAGAGAGAACTGGTTTTCCTAAAGCCTCTGTTAGTCATTTATTTCCCCCTTTTCCCCCACGGGCCAGGCTCTGCTTCCAAACTGGTCTGCTACTTCACCAACTGGTCCCAGTACCGCCAGGGAGCAGCTCAGTTCCTGCCCAAGGATGTGGTCCCTGACCTGTGCACCCACATTATCTACGCCTTTGCCAGCATACATGACCACCAGCTCACCTTTCTAGAACACAATGACCAATTTCTCTACCAGGAGTTGAACAGCCTGAAGAAGACGTGAGCCATGGGGGGGGGGGGGGACGGGGGCGGTGGGTGCACGGGGACCCACACTCCATCGCTACTATCTTGCCACACACCTGCTGTGTGGCGTTGGGTGAGTCACCTCACCGCTCTGGGTTCCCCGGGGCCTCTGGAGAAGAGATAAAGACAGAGGAGGGAAATCTCAAGGACCCTTCCAGGCGAGATCCAGGTGGGATTCCCTCCCCTGGGAATTCCCTTCCTCTTGGGAATGTCCTAAATCCACTCACCCTTTGGCTTAAGTGTGAAGGTCACCTTTACAAAGCCTCTCTGAGGATCCTGGTCTCCAATTTCCTAATGCCTTATGTGTGACACACGAGTGTTGTCTCCCGGGTTAGACCAGACATCTTCTAAGTCTTTCTTCTCCAACCACCAGTGTGCTCAGCACAGGCTGTGTGCTGTGTGATGGGGAGGATTGAGCTCCCTGCTCAATCCCGACCCCCCCCCCACCCCATTCTTCCTCCATCCCCCTGTCAGGAGGCCCTGGGAGCAGGTGGGGTCAATCCTCAAACATCTCTTGTCTTCCCAGGAATCCCAGGCTCAAGACTCTGTTATCCGTCGGGGGCTGGACTTTTGGCACCCAGAAGTGAGTGGACGTGGATACCTACCTGGGTGGGGGCTTGGTGTGCTGGCCAGAGGGGAGCCCTGGCGAAGAGGCTGAGCTGAGGGAATCTGGGCCCGGATGAGGCAGGGCCCGGGGCAGGAGAGCTGACCACTGGGGCCTCTCTCCTTCTGTGGCTGGTGTGCCATCAGGAGGGCAGCAGGTGGGCATGGGTGCAGGCTGCTCTGGGCCCAGTCCTGTTAGAAGAACAGGATGGAGAGCAGCACAGAGAGCTCTGGTATCTCCAGGCCTCAGCCGCCCCCCCCCCCCCATGAACTGGGGAGAGACAGGACGGGGATCACCTGACCCCAGACACAGCCAATGCCTGAGACCTCTAAAAGTCTTCCTTTTGTCTGAGGAAAGATTATTTTTGTTCCAGTTTTGGGTGTGAAAGGCAGTTTGTGAGACTGAGTTCAGATGCCAATTAATTGGCATTCCCAGAGTATTTTTGGTTTGTGGAATGAATAGATGTTTCCAAATGAATAAATAAATACAGAATGTAGAGGTTCCAAAGCTATATCGCCTACATTTTTTAAAATGCATTTGTGAACACATCTCCCCCAAATAATCCTTATGTTCAGACACTTCATTGACAAGCTGGGGATGTCAGCCTGCTGGTCCCAGATGCACCAACTCCACTGAAGAACCACCACCATGAATTACATCAATTAGAAATTCCTAGGAGTGAATTAGGGTCAGTGTATTAGGAACTTCAGACCTCCAAGAAGCCCAGGGACAAGTCCTGGGGCCACACGACAGTATGGAGAGAGAGCTTTGGACTTACAATGGTGACAACTGCACAGTCCACCCAGCCCTTTGCCAGCCTTGCTGCTCCTCTCCTTCCCTGCATGGTGGGGACTAACTCCTCATCTTTTCTAAACCTCCATGTGGATTGTATTAAAAGTAGCTAATTCAGGATGGGACCGTTCAGGAAAGCGGTGGAAGCTTCTGGAAGGAGTTTTGGGCAGCAGGACTCTTACTAAGTCACTGTGCCCTGGTTATGTCAGTGTTCAGGGGTAGGTAGAGAGTAAAAGGCTCATCTACTGTTCCTTCTCCTCTCCCCCACCCATATCCCAGCATTCCCAGAAGTGCTGTCTCTGAGCCCCTTCCAGATCAGACATGCAAACACAAGTGGTTCCCCCCCCTCCACCAACACACACACACACACACACACACACACACACACACACACACACACACACACACACCGGGCACCAGGCAGTGGCCTCCTATCTGGTCTGAGGCAGCCCCACACCACCACCACCCCTCAACTCCCAGGTTCACAGACATGGTGGCCACTGTAGAGAGCCGGAAGAGATTCGTTGACTCAGCCATCGGATTTCTGCGCACAAATGGCTTTGATGGCCTTGACCTTGACTGGGAATACCCGGCAAGCCGTGGGAGCCCGGCGGTGGATAAGGAGCGATTCACCATCCTGGTGCAGGTTTGGCTGAGTGGGGCCAGGGCTCCCCAAGGGACCCAGAGTCTGGGGTGCTGCTCTGCTCCCCAGGTCAGCGGCTTCGTGAATTTGTGATCCTCAGCTCAGTCCCGTGGTCTGTTTTCAGACTCCTGAGAGTGGGTGGCCACAGGAACCGTGGGGGTCTGCAGAGACAGCCTGGGTTCACACCTCTGTCCCCGCAGGACTTGGTGAAGGCCTTCCAGCAGGAATCCCAGGCCTCGGGGAAGGAACGATTGCTGCTGAGTGCTGCTGTCCCTTCTGGGCGAAGCCAGGTGGAGGCCAGCTATGAGGTGGACAGAATTGCTCAGTGAGTCTGACAGGCGACTTGGACCCTGTGTCCATCTCTGAGATGGGAGAGGCCCAGCATGGCCTAAGTGTCTTTCATGGAGCAGGCCTTTACCTACAGAGCATGATGCAGAGATTTTACAATGTATCCAGGAAAGCCTTGTTCCATGTCTGCTACCCTACCATTCCAGATCCTTCTTTTCAGATCTTTCCCTTCTTCTTGGGAACTCACATGAAAGCAAAAATGCCCTAGGACAAGGGGAGAGGAATGAAATGATCCTTAAGATCTCCAAGAGGCGGGGTGGCTGATCAGTTCCTCAGTGTGGGGTGTGGACCTGCAGCAGTTTCCAGCTCATCAGAAATGGGAACTCTCCTCTGGGTGCAGGTGGCTCATGCCTGTAACCCTAACTACTCAGGATGCTGAGATCTGAGGACTGAGGTTCGAAGCCAGCACTGTCAGAGACAGTCCAAGAAACTCTTATCTCCAATTGACCAGCAAAAAGCTGGAAGTGGGGGTGTGGCTCAAGTGGTAGAGTACCAGCCCTGAGTGAAAGAGCCAAGAGAGAGTGCAAGATACAAGAGATAGCAAGATACAAGGCCTTGAGTTCAAGCCCTAGTACTGGCACAAAAGAGAGAGAGAGAGGGAAATGGAAAAAAAAGAAAGGAAAGAAGGAAGGAAGGAAGAAAGGAAGGAGGGAAAAGAAAGAGGGAAGAAAAGGAAAGGAAAGAAACATAGGCTTTCAGCTAGGCACAGTGGTTCAATCTTGTCATCCTTGGGAGACAGGGATGGGGAATTGTGGCTTAAAGACAACCAGGCATAAAAGTTGGAGGGACTTCATCTCAGCCAACCAATGGCTGGGCACTGTAGCCCATGACTGTTATCCCATAATGTTTGGGCACAGCAGTGTCTGTCTGTCACCTCCAAGGACACAGGGAAAGTAGGAGGATCATGGCTTAGGCTAGTTCCAGGCAAGATACTAACAAGGAAAATAACCAATGCAAAAAGGGGTTGGAAGTGCAGCTCAAGTCTTAGAGCGTGTGCCTAGCATGCACAAGCCCTAAATTCAAACCCAAGTTACCCACCTACCCTCCCCAAAAAATAAATATGGACTCTCAGAACTGCCCCTAGCCTATGGAGGAAGAACCTGCACTTTACTGACGTTCCCAAGGATTTGTGCGCACTAAAGTTTGAGAAACATTGAATGGAATTCCTCTCCAAAACAATGAATTAGCACCAGGTGTCCTAATGAACCAGGGAGACCCAAGGGTGGGAGGATGCCAGAGACCTGAACTGCCAACCTCAGGTTGGGATGAGGGTAGGAGATGGGAGGAGAACTAGGGGGTGAGCCTGGCATCTCCACCTCTGGTCACAGGATCCCTCCCTAGATGCTGCAAAGGGGGAAGAACAGAGAAGAGAGGGTCCCATCCTGAGCAGACGCTCTCCACCCTTCCCCCATAACCCCGCAGGAGCTTGGATTTCATCAACCTTATGACCTATGACTTCTACGGCCCCTGGGCGAAGGTCACAGGACATCACAGCCCCCTCTACAAGAGGCAGGGAGAGCAAGGTGCAAACGCTGAGCTGAACGTGGTAAGTGGCTGGGGAGACTCCGCCACCCGCAGACCCTGTCTAGGCCCTTCAAACCTCAAGGACCTAATGGAAAAGAAATCCAGGGAAACCAAGCAGAGCACGGAGAAACTAGGAGTGTGTGTGTGTGTGTGTGTGTGTGTGAGAGAGAGAGAGAGAGAGAGAGAGAGAGAGAGAGTCGGGCCTCTTACTGTTACTTGGCTTTTTGCTCCTGACTGGTGCTCCACAACTTGAGTCACAGCTCCAACTTCTGGCTTTTTGATGGTTAATTTGGAGGTAAGAGTCTCACAGGCTTTGCAGCCTGGGCTAGTTTTGAACAGGGACCTTGCTGAGTAGTTAGGATTATAGGTCTGAGCCACCGGAGCCACTGATGCCCAGAGCATCATTGCTGGGGCATTGCTGAGGGGGAAGGCTACCTTTTGTGCAGCCTCCTCACTGATAGCAAACAGAAAACACCTTTGTGTTGACATCTTGAAGAGTCTCCAGACAATACGGATCCTGTCTACTTCACATCTTCACTTCATTTCCTTCAAGACGATGGGAGAGGGCTTTGGTTCTTGGCTACTTGCTGATCTTCCAGAAGGTGATCGCATCTCAGGGGATGTCACTCAGAGAACTCTCCTTCCCAGAACAGGGCAGGAGTGGTCTGCAGACCGCAGATGAGTGGGCTGTCTGCTCCACTGCTCCTCCTTGAGCAAAACAGATTTTTGTAATAAGCCCACTGTTTATCTTAAAAATCAAGAACAACCGTATTTGCTTTTTCTTAAAACAACAACCACAAAAAAGCCTTAAATTGGAATGCTTTTTGCTTTTGGGAGAGTGGAATCTCTGTGGGACTTTGATTTTTTTTTTCTATACTGGAGATTGAACCCAAGGCCTTGCCCTTGCTAGGGAAGCCCTGTACCACCCGAGCTTTGCCTCCAGCCCATAAAATGAGACTTTTTTTTAACCTCTGTGACTCTTTCACAAAATGCCAGCTACAGGCTGGTGAGTCACACCGAGCCGGCTTGCTTACCCTCATCTGCAGAACTGTGCAGACATTCAACTGACAGGTGAGCATGCTTGAAGACCCACATGTCATTCTCTTCACGAGGCATGCGTGGGTCCATGGAGAAGCGAGGCCTTTTCCTCCCTCTCTGTATCTCGAGATGGCTTCCAAACTTGTCTCAAAGTGTCCCGTCAGGTGAACAGGGAGCCCTGACTTCTACAAAGCTCAAGTCTGATCAAAGATAACTAGACTGATAAAAACAAGTCAGGAGAATGAAAACTGATCTTTAATGGCTGGGTATGGTCATACACACCTGTGGTCCCACCTAGAGGGATAGGTAGGTGGTCCATGGTCTGAGGTCAGCTCCCAGGCAAAAAAGTACAAGACTCTATCTGAGAAATAATAGAACAAAAAGGGGGGGGGGTAGGCTACAGGTATTGGCCTAAGTGTTAGAACACCTGCTTAGCAATCTCAAAGACCTGAATTTAAATCCCAATTCCACCAAAAACAAAAAATAAAAATCTTTCCCTGTGTTAAGAGCAAGACAACCTGGACTCATCTAGAGCAGCTTCTTAGGGAAAGTGAGCTGTAACTATGGTTTGGGCGGGGATATCCTTGTCAATTGTTTACTCAGTACACCTACTGGGAATCTCCCCTATGGCCTGGGAGATTTGTATCACCCAGTGTATGATTGTGGGCGGACCTCGTTCATAGGTAGGAAGATCTTGTTCAGGGTGTTCACCTTTGATCTTTCTGAGCATTGAAGTGCTGAGCATTGCTGTAGGCACGGGATACAGATGGAAGTCCCTGCTCTTACACTCAGGCGAAACTTACACTGAGATGATGAGAGCCACTGAAGCTCCTCTAAGTTGCGTGGTCTAGGTCTCCCTTCTGCACCAGGCCCTTCGGTTCATGCAAGGCCATCTTGGATGGCTACATGGATTTGTTCCATTTCAAATAAGTTGTCCAGCAAGTTAGGCATCTCTTTTAGTTTCACTGATGGAACCCACCATCTGTCTAGGACAGGTTCTGACACTCAGTAGACTAATATTCATCCAGGAAAGGTTTATTGGAATCCAAAGCCTAACTTGTACTGCTGTGCCCTAACTTTGAAGAACAGTTATCTGACTCTTTGGCTAGTGGACTAGACAGTTTCTCACACTGGGATTCAAGATGGGCAGGATTTGGAATACTGACCAAGACGTTTAGATCTCCAGCTGAGGGTCCTGTTCTCCTAGCCTTCTTTCTGGAGTAACCCCCCACCCCCTTCTAAGGCAATCAGAGCGAGCCTGAAAGACAGATTCACTGACCCCTCCTCTTCCACCACCAGGATGCTGCCGTACAATTGTGGCTGCAGAAGGGAACCCCTGCCTCCAAGCTGATCCTTGGCATGCCTACCTATGGACGATCCTTCACTCTGGCCTCGTCCGACACCAGCGTGGGGGCCCCCATCACGGGACCTGGAGCCCCTGGCCCCTTCACTAAAGACAAAGGGATACTGGCTTACTATGAGGTGGGAAAAACCAAGAGTGATGGGGGATGGGATAGCCTGGCAGCAAGGGGACCAAGTAAATTCCACACTGTCCCTGCCAGGTGCCCAAAGTTCAGATCCATCATTCTAGGTCATTCTGTTTAGAACCCCTGCATTCTCCAGGTGTCCTCACACAAGACTTTTGCAGACTCTGGTCTACTCCTGGTGGGGAGAGAGGTTCCTGCTGGGCTGTCTGTCCTCCTGTCAGCACTGCCCTCTGTTTGTGCAGGTCTGCTCCTGGAAGACAATTCAGAGAATCAAGGACCAGAAGGTGCCCTATGCTTTTCAGGACAAGCAGTGGGTGGGTTTTGATGATGTAGAGAGCTTCAAGGCCAAGGTAAGGCTGGGTACTCCTGCGACGGGAGAGGTGGTAGGGCAGACCAGAGGCCTGGCAATCATTTCAAATGACAACATCCAGAACTCATCATACATGTCCCAACATTACGCCAATCTTTGTGCTGATTGCATGTCAACACAGAGAAAACTATTGCTGGCACATTGAGCAATCCTCTTGGGAGGCTTGCATCTGCATGGTGAGTGGATTATTTTTCTTGATCCATTGGCAATAATTTGGGACACATTCAAATCATGGGCCTTTGGTTTCCTTCTGGGGCCTGAATATGGGTTCATTTGTTTTCTGGCTTCTTTCCACCATGAGCTAAGAAGAGAAAAAGAGCTGATCTTTTTTTTTTTTTTTCTTTCTTTTTTTTTTTTGGTTGGTCATGGGGCCTGAGCTCTGGGCCTGGGCGCTGTCCCTCAGCTCTTCAGCTCAAGGCTAGTGCTCTACCACTTGAGCCACAGCACCACTTCTGGCTTTTTCTGCTTATGTGGTGCTGAGGAATCGAGCCCAGGGCCTCATGCATGTGAGGCAAGCACTCTACCACTGAGCCACCTTCCCAGCCCCTGAAAAAAAGAACTGCTCTTGTTTGTCTGTGCACCCCACACCAATAGTGGCAGGTCCTTCTAGAAGTGCAGGCTAAATCCTCTGGGAGAATCCAGGGTGAGAGGAAATGTGATGCTGGTGGAGGGAGATTCGAGAAGGGAGTATGAAATGGGTGAAAAGCAAATAAGGGAGTGGGAGTCTCTGGGAGGAGATTATGAGCAAAGTCAGAGAAGGTAGGGGAGGCTGGTCTCTGAGAACAAGACCCTCAAAGGGACTGGGAACAACCCCCCCCCCCTCTAGGGCAAGCACCATAGCTCCCTTGTTGGCTGAGGGGACAGAGGAGCCCCTTTGAGGGAACACACCAATGCACTGTGTGCTCCCGGGAGCTTGGAGGAGGAGAGGGGGAGCGGAGGGGGGAAGAGCCATGAAGATGGGGAGTAAAACATGCCTGGATCTTGTGGGAAGCCATGATATCCAAACATATCCCAGCAGTAGACAGTGCCTAAAGCAGCAGCTTGACTGAGATGGTAAGGCAAAATGGTCCACTGCACTGCTCCTTGCCTCTGCCCGCCCCTACCCTGGCTGTGCTCATATCCTTCCCGGCCAGGGCTCAGCCACCCAGGCTGGTTCCACCTCTCCACCACTCGTGGGCCTGAGGAGGGTAGGGCCTGCTCCAGAGGAAGAGGCTGGGCTCTGGGGCTGGCCTGCACGGTGTCCCCAGTCCCTGTGCCAGCATTTACCTCCCCCCCCCCCACACACACACAGGTCAACTATCTGAAGCAGAAGGGCCTGGGTGGGGCCATGGTCTGGAGCTTGGACTTGGATGACTTCTCTGGCTCCTTCTGCAACCAAGGCCGCTACCCACTCATCCAGACGCTGCGGCAGGAGCTGAGTAAGTGAGGGGCCAGGCACGAGAGGTAGAGCTTGGGGTGGGGCACACCCCCTCTCAAACCACACTTGTTGACTTCTCTGTTTTGGGGGGAGGTAGGTCATGGGGCCTGAACTCTGGGCCTGGGCGCTGTCCCTCAGCTCTTTAGCTCAAAGCGAGCACTCTACCACTTGAGCCACAGTACTACTTCCAGTTTTCTGGTGGTTAATTGGAGATAAGAGTCCCATGGACCTTCCTGCCCAGGCTGGCTTTGAACCGCCATCCTCAGATCTCAGCCTCCTGAGTAGCTTGGATTGTAGGCGTGAGCCACTGGCACCTGGCTACTTGTTGGTTTTTCTAAAGAAAGAATTCTGCCCCAATATTGTGGTTTCCCTGATTTCATGTACCTCAGGATCTGAGGAAACTCAATACAATTTCCCTTTCATGCTTTTCTTCCTTGTCTTCCTTGTGTGGCAATGCGGGCCAAGGCCTCCCTGGTAAGCAGAGCTTTCTTCCGCAGGCTCAGCCTGGAAGCCACAGCTGGGCAAGGAGAAAGCCTGTGCTCAGCCTGCAGCATGGAGCCCTCCGGTGCCCTTTACCAGTATCATGCTTGGGCTGTGTGTGTGTGTGTGTGTGTGTGTGTGTGTGTGTGTGTGTGTGTGTGTGTGTGTGTGTGTGTGTGTGTGTGTGTGTCTCGTGCTGGGGTTTGAATTCACACAGGGCCTGAGCCTGTCCCTTCACTTTTTCACTCAAGTTTGGCGCTCTAGCACTAGAGCCACAGCTCTACTTGTGGCTTTTTGCTGGTTAAACGAAGATGAGTTTCTCACCTTTCCTGCCTGAGCTGGCTTCAAATCACAGCTCTCAGATCTCAGCTTCCTGAGGCTTACAGGTGTCAACCACCAGCACCTGGCATGGTTGGGCTTTGTTGCTGGTTCAGAGCCGCTGATGACTGCTTGCTGTGTGGGTAGCCCAGGTGTGGCCTGTCAGGTTCCTGAGCGTAGTGGTGGCGTGGTCCACACGAGCAGCGAGGGTCCCCGGGCTGTCTCCTCGGCTGCTGCTTTGGGAGGGACCTTGGGTTTGGGACCTCCTGGACCAGTTTTGTTGAATCGATCTTGTCTTCCCAGGTCTTCCCTCCATGCCTCCAAGTCCAAAGCCAAAAGTGCCTGCTCCTGGCCAGCCCTCGGAACCTAGGCGGGGTCCTAGCCCTGGACATGACACCTTCTGCCAGGGCAAAGATGATGGTCTCTACCCCAACCCCCGGGACCTGTCCACCTTCTACACCTGTGCAGGGGGCCGGCAGTTCCTGTTCAACTGCCCATCAGGCCTGGTGTTCAGCACCTCCTGCAACTGCTGCAACTGGGCCTGAGCCCCCTGGCCCCTCCCTTGTTGCCTGGGGCCAGCGCCTGGGATGGCCCTGCAGCCTGCCTCTCGCTCCTGGGGGCTGCCGCCTGGCCCTGCTGACCTCTGTATGTTCTCTTCATAACCAGGCTTTCTGCTCTCCTCCAGGGCTTCCATTTTTCTCTCTTTAATTACAAAATAAACTTCTGGTTTGCACCCTTCTCCACAAAGTGTGGTAACTTAAAGAGATTCTCCAGGCAACTGTTGAGTCAGAACCTGCCCTGAGGGAGGCTGACACAGGCGGGCAGAGGCGGGAGAGCTGGTCCGCTCCGGGTGTGCCTGGCCTGTGCGGGTCTCACCTTCCAGTGGGCATCTTCCTGTACATAGGTGACAGGATCCAGGGCTCAGCCAGGGTGGCACCTAGTCCCTGGTCCTCAGTTCAGGAGCCTTTGGAGCAAAGCACTTTTCCTGCAGCGCTCCACATGCATATCACCCCCACGATGTACACTAGATGGCAGAGAAGCGCTTTCCCTGTCTTCAGTCCTCTGCTGTCAGCCACTGGGCATTTCAGTGAGAATTCAGACTTAAAGCTGTGGGGTGGGGGTGATTTACAGGTCTTACCTCTCTACTGTTCCTGTCAGGTCACAATTATTATTCTCATTTTATAGGAACTGTAACTGAAGCCGGAGTCTAATCAATTTTAAGTCCAAAACCAAAGCCTAAAGTGGGCCACACTATGTGTGGTGGCACATGCCTGTAATCCCAGCACTCAGGAGGCTGAGGAAAGAGGATGCTAAGTTTGAGGGCAGCCTCGTTTCTTTAAAACATTTTAAAATTGTTATTGTAAAGGTGATGTACTGAAGGGTTACAGTTACATAAGTCAGGTAAAGAGTATTCTTTTTTTTTTGGGGGGGGGGGGGTCCTGTCGTGGGGCCTGAACTCTGGGCCTGGGCACTGTCCCTCAGCTCTTCAGCTCAAGGCTAGCGCTCTACCACTTGAGCCACAGCGCCACTTCTGGCTTTTTTCTTTTCGCTTATGTGGTGCTGAGGAATCAAACCAGGGCCTCATGCATGCAAGGCAAGCGCTCTACCACTGAGCCACCTTCCCAGCACAAGAGTACATTTCTTTTTGGATAATGTCACGCCTTCCCTTGCTCTCCCCAGCCTGGTTTTTATAATGAGATCCTGTCTCAAAATCTTCAAAAGATATTGGGTGCCATTGGCTCATGCTAGTATTACAAATACTAGCTACTCAGGAAGCTGAGATCTGATGATCACAGACAGACAAAACTGACAGACTATCTCCAATTAAACAGAAAAAAAAAGTGGAAGTGGAGCTGTGGCTCAAATGGTAGAGGGCCAGCCTTGGGCAGAAACCTAAAGAACAGGGCTCAGGCCCTGAGTTCAAGTCCCAGAACCAGCACACAGTTTAAAAAAAAAAAAAAAAGAGTCAGCTTTTGGTTAACCTCTTGCAAGACACACTTACATGTGCCCTGGACATCAGTGATGTCAGCCTGTCACCCTGCAGCACCGGGCTACTTCATTCAGATGCTCCTAACATTATCCCATGTTTCAGACCCTGCACCAGATTCCAAGCTGCTGAAAGCGAGGAATGTGTCTTATTGGCCTCCTTCTTCCCTGACGCATTTTTGAGACTTAATAAATATTGGACCATATCATTGCTGTTTTTCCCCCTTTTCTCTTCAAGTGCCGAAATTGGTTCTGTCCCTCCAGTAAGAGGATTTCCATCAAGTCCTCTTTAATGACCAGAGCACTGCTCTCCTGAGCCCTTCCAGCTTACAACGTCAGCAGCCAGCCAGGAGAGAATGAACTTTTTTTTTTGCCTGACCAGAAGCTGCACTAGGTGCATGGCAAATATTTCCTAGTGAAGAGTAATCAAATGAATCTGTGTTCCTGCCAAGTATCACTTTAGATCCCTGAGCACTGTGGTCCCAGGCAAGCCCAGCCATGGAGGACCAGCTGACCCGGGTCCCCCCATGACCCCCCACAACTGTTGAATGTTTCGCATCTCATCAAGAGCTACAATGCTCCTGCATTTTTATTTTGTTTTCATGATAAAATGGAACTCCTGTTACACCCAGGTAAGGATACAACATCGGCCCCTGAGCGTTGGGATTACAGACTTGCACCCCTGGGCCCAGTTTTTCTGTCCATTTTGGTAATGATTCTGAAAATTCTGTTTGGTGTTCTATACAGACAATCATATCATCTACATGAGTGAGTCTTTTTCTTAAATCCAAACCTTACACCTTTCCGTCCTTCCTTCCTTCCCTCCCATTCTTTTATTCTTTTTTGTTCTGGGGCTTGAACTCAGGTACTGGGCTCCTTCCCTTAGCTTTGTCACTCAAGGCTGACACTTTATCACATAGGCCACAGCTCCAATTGCATTGTGGGGGGGGGGTGGAGGGGGGTGTCTGTGTCTGTGTGTCTGTGTCTGTGTGTCTGTGTGTGATTGATTGGAGCTAAGACTCTCATGGGCTTTTCTGTCCCGGCTGGCTTCAAATTGTGATCCTCAGACTGCAGCCTCTTGAGTAGCTTTTTGTTTTGATTTTATTCTATTAATAAATAATCATTATTAATCCATTTCCCTGTTAACTTCATCTTAGATCACTGGGATTATGGCCACATTGTTGTGCTGTGCAGTATTATCATTTTTGTAGCTTGCTAGACTGTTTATATATTTTTTGCATTTCTATACTCCTGAGTATAATGAGACTACATGTTTTTCTTCCTTATATTTGTTGGGGGAGGGGAGGCTGCTCTCTTAGCTACTGCCCCAGCCAATAAGAAACTGATCTGGGGTATTAAGATTCTGCCAGCCTCTTATGAGCTGGAGAGTTGTCTCTTTCCATTTTCTGATAGGATAAAAGGACGGATCTGCTCCTTAGTCATCTGTATGTTAATACTCATCAGTGAAGCCATCTTAGTATACTCTCTACCCTCTCCCAAGTAGGGCTGACAGGAGACAGGGTCACAATTCATGCTTTACTCAAAACTCAGTACCTCTGTTTCCCCTGAGTAAGAGTCCAATCTGAAATGAAGTCAGAAAGGCTGCTAGTTACCTCTGCTCCCATTTTCACACCCTCAGGCCCCTAAAGAGGGTTGAGTCAGGCACCGTTAACCTTCCCTCTTCCCAGAAGTCTCTGGGGCATATCCAGACGATTGAAGGTCCCACAGCCAGGTTTGGGGAGCATATTTTATCAACAGTTGTGATAAGGTTTGTCTCCTCAGGGACCCCCTCCTTGTGCTTTTCTGGCCTCTTTCCTGGGAGCCAGGCCTGGTCCAGGGGTTACCACTAGTAGGCACTCTTGCTGTTCCTTTTTACTTCTTACATTGATTAAAACCCACTCCACGATATCCAGATGCATTGTACAGAGAGAACAGACAGATGTCTTAATTAAGTCAGCCATTCGGGCAACAGAGATTTTTCCCAATACATCTGAAGGAGAGAAATATTCTCTCAGAGACATCTCATCTCATCTGCCCAGGGAGGGGCTGGAGGGGCGCACACAGACATTCCCAGCATTCCTCCACCTTCCCCGGCCCCACCAGATGGCACGGAGATCTTGGGAGCTTAGGACGGCCCCACCCACCCACTCCTTTCTCCAGGGTATCTTTGCCATTCCCAGCTGTCACCCAGGCCAATAATAACCTATGGAGGCCAGGTGGCCCAGAAGCCCTGGCTTAGCAGGAGAGCCTCCTAACCCTCCCACTCCCTCAGCCCCTCTGTTCCTGGGAGATCACACTTCCCAGCCAGAGAGGGGAGGCACCAAGAGGGGGAAGATCCTAGGTCCAATGCTCATCACTCCTACCTTGCCCTGCCCACTTGACCCTGACTTTCCTCTAAAGCAGAGCAGCTGGGCCACCAAGACTCCAGCCCACCCTAACCAGCCTAGACCCACCGGCTGCTGGTCTTGTCTTACTGAGGTCAAGCACAGCCTTCAGTGCACTGCCCCAGCCTCCATCCCACCTGCCACCCTGAAAGGTAGACTCTGAGAAGGAGAGATGCAGCTCCATAACATGAGCCAGGGCAGGGTCCTATGCCCAATGTCTGGGATGTTACAACGATACTGCTGCAGCACTCAGACTCAGGGTGATGCTACATGGAGGACAGTTCATGTGGCCTGTTCCCCTTCATCCACGTACACCCTGGGGGGGCGGGGCAAGTCACTTCTCACTTGGAGTTCTACTGTACAGTAAGCACCTCCCACCAGACAACCTACTGGCCATCGCCAGCCATCCCCAGCACTGGTGTCCCTTCTCAGGAGACAAAACAGGGAAGGCTTGATCATTCACGTGGCACCAGATAGTACCCTCTCCCAGAAAGAGTCCTCTTTCAGGATAAGCCTTGGGCCAGTTGCCTGTGGCTCACATCTGTAATCCTAACTATTCAAAGAGGCTGAGATGTGAGGATCGCTTTTTTTTTTCTCCTGTGTTAAAAAGCTTTATTTAGAATTTTTGTTTCTTAGCTGGATTATTCCATGCCATTTTGTGACATGAAATAAATCAGAAACTACTCCACTTTCATTTTAAGATCAAGCTTCTTGGTCATTGGAGAAATAAAGGAAGAAATCAGAAAGTTCCTACAATCCAATGAAAATGAACATGCATCATACCAAAATCTTTGGGATATGATAAAAGCAATGCTGTGAGGAAAGTTCATAGCTCTATGCATTTTACATAAAGAAAATAGTAACAGTTCAAATAAATAACAATTTCATGATTCATCTAAAGCTTCTAGAAAAACAGGAACAGACCAAATCCAAAAGTAGTAGATGGAGAGAGATAATAAACATTAGGGCAGAAATCAATGTAGTAGAGCCTAAAAAACTATATATAGAATCAACCAAACAGAAAGTCAGTTCTCTGAAAAAGTTAATAAAATTGACAGCCCCCCTAGTTAAGTGACGAAAACAAGAAGCAAAAACCCCTCAAATCAACAAAATTAGAGATGACAAAGGAAACATCACAACAAGCATCCAAGAAATTCAAGAGATTATAAGAGACTATTTCTGAAACCTATACTCAAATAAGAAGGAAACTCTAGCAGAAATGGATAAATTCCTAGAGACATTCAAGCTGCCTAAGCTGAACAAAGAAGCTGTAAACCGCTTAAATAGACCCATCATAAGCAATGAGATTAGGAAAGTAATAAGCAGTCTTCCAATAAGGAAAATTCCAGGTCCTGATGGATTCACAGCCGAATTCTGAGACCATTAAAGATGAACTAACACCAGTTTCACAGTTACAGCCTCAATGGTCAGAGATTCCATTGACCTGATGATGCAGATGTTCTTGCTGACCTGTATGTGTATAGACGGCCATGTTTGCCACGTGGACTGGAAATGGATTCTAGATGACTGGCAATTTCTGACATCACATCTCTGCACAGCTTCCTCTGGGCTGTATCCAATAGGGCCCACTCTCCCGGGGTGAAGTTCACAGTTACATTGTCAATGATCATGATTCTCTGCTTAAAGTTCTGCCTCTTGGCCAGGCAGGAGCAAGTGCTAACTCAGTTTTAGGCACCACCATCACCATAACACTAAGTCAACTGCACTCATCAGCGTGATTAATGAGTCAAGGATTTCCCATGAGGCCAACACCTGGGGATTCATGGTCGCTGCAGTTTGCTGGTGTCTTCCTCTGGAGGTCAACTCACAGGCTTTCCAAGCTCTAAGCAGGAAAATGGTTGTGGTTGTGCTCAAAGCCAGCTGCAGAAGTTCCACCTCCTGTAGTATCCCTTCGTTGTCACCAAAAACTCTGATGGGATGCAGGTGAAGGTTTGTGAAGTGTCCCTTTAAAAATAGGGAGTCTTCAGGTAGGGTCATTGACTTGGATGGCAGAATTTGAATTTCTAGAAAAGTCACAATGGTAAGAAAACTTGGCAGAGCTTTATTGAGTAGGCAAATGAGCAAGCAGGCAGGCAACTAAGCATGCAGACAGACAGACAAGCAGAAAGGCAGAGACACTCCAACAGAGTGCAGGTGCTCAAAAGGAGAGACATGGAGGATCACTTTTTGAAGCCAGTCTGGGCAGGAATATCTATGAGACTCTTATCTTCAGTTAACTACCAAAAAGCCAGAAGCAGAGCTGTGACTCAAATGGTAGAATGCCCACCTCGAGTGAAAAATTTAAGGGACAGTGTGCAGGTTCTGAGTTCAAGCCCCAGAACAAGAGAGAGGTGGGGGGGAGGGAGGGAGGGAGGGAAGGAAGGAGAGAAGGAAAGAAAGAGAAAGAAAGAAAGAAAGAAAGAAAAGAAAGAAAGGAAAGAAGGAAGGAAGGAGGGAGGGAGGGAGGGAGGGAAGAAAGGAAGGAAGGCAGGAAGGCAGGTAGGCAGGCCTTTGCTGGCCATGGCTCTCCCCTCCACCTGATGCCCATGTGCCCACACATATAGGAAAGTTGCCTCTCTTGGCCAAGCACAAGGCCCACAACAATGGAGGGCTAGCTGTCTTACATTGCCCTTTACATCCACTTCTTCTCCAGATCACTCAGGGTTCTGTTCTCCACCAGCTGAGCCCGGCAGTCCCTCCTGGCTCACCTGTCCCTCTCTGCGAGGCCTCCACAGAGCCAGAGCCACACAGCAGGGGAGCATGATGCCCAGGCTCTGTCCAGAGCATCCCTGGAGTGACTCAGAGGCTCCTCGCCTTTGGAGAATAGCCAGGCTGCCCCTCCTCAGATGCCTGGTGGAGGGATCCTCCACGGGATAGCAGGCCCTGATGCCTTGAGACAATCTCTTCCTAAGCCTTTAATCCAGTGATGGGAGCCATTTTCTATTAACAGGCCGTGACTTCAGTGGAAAAGCATAATCATCAAGGGCCCTATCATTGTATAAAATTACTGAATTTCAGTGTGGATGCCACAGTTGTTTACTTTCACTCTCAAAGGATATAGAAAACATGGAAAAATAGTGCTTTTTAAGCCAAAGGAAAAACTGTACAAAATAAACAGGAGTGACAGTATTTTAAAATATGGTTTCTATATTTGGGGCAGCTGAGTGGACATGACATGGAAGAATGTGAAGGGAAAAGAGAGTGAGAAATTGTGGTGGGGAAAGAGGAAGACAAAATCATAAGAAAGGGGAGGGTGAAATGTGAGGATTGTGGTTCAAAGCCAGCCTAAGGAGGGAAGTCTACAAGACTTTCCAGTTCTCCAATTATTTCTCCATTTCTCCCATTAACCAGCAAAAAAAAAAAAAAAAACAACCCAGGAAATAGAGATGTGGCTCAAGTGGTAGAGTACCAGAGCTTGAGCAAAACAGCTAAGGGGCAATGCCCAGGCCCTGAGTTAAACAACAACAACAACAACAAAACTTAGAAAGATGAAAGGGAGAGTCAGGGGAGAGTGGAGGAAGAAGGAAGGAAGAGCAGATGAGGGCCGCAGTACACGCACACACCTTTAGTCATCTGCTAAGTCAGGACTGTCCCAGCTCCAAGCATCTCCCGTCATGCACAGCGAGTTTTCAGACTATTACCAGCTACAAATTATAATGCCAGCATAGTTAGGTGCTTACTTGTACTCTACCACTTAATCTTAACAAGAGCTTTAAAGGTTAGGTCTTTTGCAGATAAGGGAAGTAAGACCTAAAAGTCCTCACACCACTGGTAATGAGAGTCTGGATTCAAGTCTTCATCTGAGTTGGAGCTTTTATACCATTTCTGCCATGAGCCAGCTCCGTGCAGAACTGTCTGCTGTGATTATCCTTGTGCACTGTTCTTGGCTCACCATGCTGCACAGCTCTTTCCTTCTGCTTCTTTGAAGCCATTTGACTGTCCCATCTCTTCTTCCCGCCTTCCCTGACCTCACACTTGGTTTGATGTATTTTCTTCTTCTGGACTGTTCTGGAGATCTTCCACAGACACTGGCCCATCCATGGCTCTCCTCTGAAGAGCCTCCGCCTCCCCCGGGCTCAGTCACATCCCTCTGCTTTATTTATTTTTTACCCTGGCTGTGGTTTTCTTGCTGATTGTCCTTTGCTGTACTAAAGAAAATCTCCATATAAGCAGAACTTCGTCTGTCTTGTTTATGACCACAGCTCCGGCATCTAACACTATTTGGCAGATAGTAGGTAATTAAAAGTGTTGGCTGATGGATGAATGAATGAGTGCACAGACTTTTCTTCCTTTGCTGTCAAAGGGACATTCTCCTCAAGAACCAGCAAACCATGTCCTGGCTTAACACTTTCCCATGAGCTCCGGTCGGAATGAACCTCCTCCAAAAGCCTGCCCAGGGCTCAGGTTGTAGATGGAGATAAATGAGATTTGGCCCCAGACTCAAGGCTTGATCTTTTGGAATTTACAGAATCTAGAAAGGAGGCGAATACATGCCCACAAAGTACTATGCTTCAAAATGAGCCATAAGAAAAGAGATGGAACCAAATACGTTCAAAGAAAGGAAAAAGGCTGTCTGATTGATCAATGGAGCCTTAACATGTAAAGGCATCAGCACTGAGCCTGAGTCCTGGACAAGACTGGTGGGGGGTTGGGGGGGCCCACAGCAGCCTTGGGTAAGAAGCTCTGAGACTGAGAGTTGGGACCCCAGGCTGAGAGCCAGGCCCCCCAGGCTGTGTCTAGACCAGGCGGGTGAAGGGCGGGGATGGGAGCTGCAAAGGAAGGGAATCAGCACTAGAAAAGGATGGGTGGAGCTTGGACAGATCTGTGCCAGCCCCACGGGGGACCCTGGCCAGGCAGCAGCATCAGGAGCAGTTGGGGAGGGAGGGAGGGCGGTGGGCAGAGCTCCTGGGCAGTGAGCAGGAGAGGGTTAACCTGCTTCTCCCTGAGAGGCTCAGTGCAGGCGGATTTCTCCGTTTTCTTCAAGTAGTGTGAAATGTAAGCAGGTCAACAGGCCCAATTTCTCAACAGCAGGAAATGAAGCAACTTTTTTGTTGTTGTTGAGAAAACAGCCCGCCTTGATCAAGGGCAAGGCTCCAGGCTGTGGTCATTTCCCTGTCACATTAATCCCTGGTTTTTAGAAAACAGTTTTGTCCGGGAAGGGGTGGGGATCTGAGAGGAAGGCGGGGTGAGGGTGGCTGGGACAGGAATGGAAAGGAGGAAGAGGAGAAGGAAGAAGAGGAGGGAGAGGGACTGCCTGCAGGCACACGGGTGGAATAAAACCAGGCTGACCACCTGCCCAGCGGGAGGGAAGGGACAAAACTGGGCTCCAAGGAACTTAGGGGGTCTCAAGGGGCGGGGGGGGGGGGGGGGGCGGAGGCCAGGTCAGAAATAGGCCTCAGTTTCTAAGGCCTGTCCCACAGATTAGGCCTGACCCAGCTTCTAGGACCAGGACCACAGACAGTTCTAGTTCCTTCTCCTGGGTCAGTCTATCTAAATACCATGTTGTATTGTGCGTCTAGGCTCCTACAACTGCCCCAAGCATAGATGCTGAGCCTCTTGAAGACAAGATTACTCATTATTCTTGTGTCCAGCCAGAGAAGAATTCAGGCAAGGCATGAAACACAGTGAAAGTGATAGTTGAGTAGGAAAAGAATATACTTTCAATAGACTGAAAGCTTGTCAGGTGAGATGATGGCATGAGCCTTTGGGATCTGAGTATATATTGAGATTAGCACGAGAAATTCCCAGCCTACAGGACTGAGGTTGCTGTGGAGGCCTTGAGCCTACTATGTGAGCCCAAAGGGTCTGGTTCAAGGGCCTGCATCTCAGTTTTGGTCAATTAAAGGTCTATTGTCTTGGCACTGTTCATTGTCCATCCACGTTAGTGTGAAACAAAGCCTTTCCTTAATCCTTAGGTGCATAGGGGACTAAAAAGCATCCTCTGACCTCCACGGGCTATTCAGATCTTTTAACCATTTTTATTGTTATTATACGGCCGTTGTAGAAAGGGGGTACAGTTACATATGTCGGATAATGAACACCTTTCTTTTTGGACAGTGTCACCTCTTTCCTCCCTCTCGCCCAGTTTTTCCCTCGGCTGTTCTGATCCTAGCTGAGGCTGATGGGCTGCGAGTCTCTGAGACAGACAGCCTGGGACCTCTACCTCCCGCCATCACAGCTGTCTCTCCACTGCTTCACATTTTTACCTGTAGGGACGAAGTCGGGGCCTGGAAGAATCCTCCATTTTAAGTTTCCTTTGCTTAATTGCTGTCACTAACATCTAACTGCTGCCTGGGGTTCCACTCCCCCGGCTGCTCCTAGCTCCTGGAACCTGTGTATAAAGGAATGAAGCCACTGCCCTGCTCTGTGGCCCTCAACATACAACTCCCCACCCCTCACCCTGTCTCCATACATCTGCTGCCTTAGACTCAGCCTGGACCTCCTCCTATTCTCTCCTCAAAGAGCTCATTTTTTTGCTCAGGTGTGTGTGGGGGTGTGGGGGGGGGGGGTGTGGGGGGGTGTGTTGGTACTGGGACTTGAACTCGGGCCTGGGCATTGTTCCTTCACTTTTTGGCTCAAGGGAAGTTAGTGTTTTACCACTTAAGCCACAGCTCCACTTCTGATTTTTTTCTGATTAGCCTTAGAGTCTCATGGACCTCCCTGCCAAGGCTGGCTTTGAACTATGATCCTCAGATCTCAGCCTCCTCCGTGGCTGGGATTACAGGCATGAGCCACTGAGGCCTAGCTTTTAAAATAGCATCTTTATCTACCTGTATCTACCTCTGTCCTAGGCCTCCTGCTGGCCTCCAGCTGTGCAAACCAACTGGGCAGCTTGCTGTGTCTGCTCCCTTGAAACTCCGCCAGCTCACTGTAGATGTATGTGCCTGCCTCCAGTGCCCACCCCTCCCACACATGCTTGCACTAGGACCTCAGGGAGCTCCTGGCTCTTCCTCTTCTCTTGCCCCTTCCATCCAACACACCTTTAAGTTTGCTGCTTTCCCCATAGTAACTGTCTTGAGTCTGCTGCCTTCTCTCCATCTGTAACCCACCAACCTGTACACAGCACCCAATCTCCCGCCTGAACCTGGTTAATAACTATGCATAACCAGTATGGTATCACATGCCTATAATCTCAGCTGCTTGGGAAGCTGAGGCAGGACGATCCCTTAAGTCTGGAAATTCAGAACAAGAACCTGGCTCAAAAAGGTTACAATTAGCCAAGCACTGGTGGCTCATGCTTATAATCCTAGCCACTTAGAAGGCTGAGATCTGAGGATTCTGGTTTGAAGCCAGCCTAGACAAACAGAACTTCAAAACTCTTTATCTCTGATTAACTAGCAAAAAGCCAGAAGTGGAAGTGTGGCTCAAGCGGTAGAGGCCCAGGCTTCCGTGAAAAAGCTAAGAAAGCTTGAGGCTCTGAGTTCAAGCCCCAGTACTGGCACATACACATACAAAAGAGAGAGAGAATTGCAATTAAAAATAGCCATTCATACTTTGGCCTCTTCCACTTGCTTCCTTCTATGTCTGTTTTCTACTGGGAAGTAAGACGCATTCCAAAACATCAATCCTCTTCTGTGCCACTATTTAAGAGGTCAGGAGTGTCTGATTACAGGGCCCAGACCCTGTCTCTCTCCACCACCTCCTGCTTCTCTCCCCTAGCGCAATCCACGATAGCCACACTGCTCTGCCTACTTGCTTCTCCTTTTTCTCTGGGACTTTATATTCTCTCCCTCGGCCATTTCCCCTCTTCTTGGCATGCCTGACTCCCTCAGATTCTAGCTTAAGGCTGCCTCCTTGGAGATACCTCCCTGGCCAGCCAAACTGAAGCACGTGTTTTTCTTCATTGGACCAGCTCAGCCTGATACTTGGCCTCTTACAGGGGCCCAGAAATTCCCTGGGAGAAGGGATGTGGGCAGGCGCTGGCTCCAGTGACTCTACTGAGCTCTTTTTCCTCTTTATAAACCACCAAGGATTCAGCTATCTCCTCCCTTTAAAAATTCTCCATGCTGCTCACACCAACAACACAGCGTGGCCTTTCTCCGCTTTACCTCTTCCAAACTAGTCTCAGAACTGGACAAAGTTGGCTACCAGCTTCCTAGCTGCCCCTTTGCATTTCTAGGTTTAAACACTGGGCATTGCAGGGAAAGAGAGGACAGTGGAAAATAACCACAGAGAAAGCTGCAATCCTGAGACGGAGTGAGTTCCTCCGGGCCGTGGTCCTCGGTCTATAGTTAGCCTCTGACTTCCTCTCCTGGCAAGAACCACACCAGTTATCTAGGACAGACCTGGTTTCAACCCTTCCATTGTGTGCCTGCGCCGCGTGATTTTCTCCAGCGCGCTCTCCTTCCTTCTCCCCTCTCTGGTCCCCAGGAGGAAGCTGTCCTTTCTCAAACAACCCCCACGCTCAGTGTGGAAAGAGCTAAGTCTGGCTCTTACTTTGTTCTACCACATAAAAGCTGCAAGACTTTGTGCCAATCGCCACGTGCGCCAAGCTTTCGTTTTCCCCATCTGTAAGAGAGAAAAGTCGACACCTCCATTCTACGACTTGGCAGGGGTGCCTGCGTTGTACCTGTCCATCACTTCGTACCCATTTCTCTACTCTTCCTTCTCAGGGTTGAGAAAGAATGTGGTATTGTTTTCCAGCCCCAAACCCCCAATAACCTCCAGGACTGCGGGGGATAATATAAGACTTAACCAAACCTGAGTTGGTAGGGATGCTGGACTCTGTTCTCCGGGTTCTGCGGTGCCCTGGGAGGAGAGCCAGGTCCTGTCTGTAGGCGGGGAGCACCATCTCCATAAGGAAGAGGTGCTCTTGGAAAAGCAAACTCTTTATTGAAAACAGAAGCTTGGAAGACCGGCCTTAGGCAGGTAAGAGATGGTTGACTCTTGGGCTCCAGCTAGGAGCAGGAATCCATCCCAGATTTATGGCTTCCTCAATGTGGTATCAGAGCAGAGGGCAGCTTGGAGGCTGGCTCTCCACGAGTACTTCCTGCCCATCATCCCGAGACTCCCCCACCCCTCAAGTCATATTGGAATGTTCTGAGCTATGTTCAACGTTGCCAAGCCAGTGTGGAAAGGGCTGAGTCTGACTCCCATCCAAGGAACAGCAGTGACCCAAGGCCACATTGGTGACAGCTCCTTACAGGAGCACCTCCGGGCCACAAAATCTATCCTGCCCTCCATGTGGAACTCGTAGTCAAGTGCCTACCTGGAGTTCATTTCCATTCAGGTCATCTCACCTCCTCCAGGCCCTGATTAGCAGGAGAAAGATTGTTGCCAGGCCCATGGCCTGCATTCTCTTGGGCTGTTGGGACAAACAAAGTCTGGTGATTGGACTTGAAGGCGGGCAGTAGCAGAGAGACTAGGAGACGTCTCTGCTCTCTGCTCCTTGCTGTCAGCGGAGAAAGCAATCTCTGTATGAGTTTCCTGTGGCTACTGTAACAAGTTGTCATGAATTTTGGGAGGCTTCAAGCATTACTGACTAGTATATTACAGTTCCAGAGTTCAGAAGTCTTAGATGAGTTCTATGAGGCTAACATGAAGTTGTCAACAGGTCTGTGTTCCTTCAAGAAGCTCCAGATGTAATCGCTTACCTGGCCACATTTACTGCCTAGAAGCCACCTGTGTACAGGCTGGAGATGTGGTTCAGTGGAAGAGGGCTTTGAGGCTCTTGGTTTAATCCCAGTACTGGAGCAGATGCAAGAAGAGAGAGAAGCAGATGGGGAAAAAAATGGAGAGACAAAGAGGAGAAGGAGTTCCCTGTATTCTATGGTTTATTAACCCTTCCTCCACCTTCAAAGCACCTCTCTCTGACCTCTGTCCCGCCAGCACCTCCCCTTTTCTGTGTTCAACATAGAAACCTTTGTGGGGCTGGGAAGGTGGCTCAGTGGTAGAGCGCTTGCCTCGCGCGCATGAGGCCCTGGGTTTGATTCCCCAGCACCACATAAGCAGAAACAAGACGGAAGTGGCACTGTGGCTCAAGTGGTAGAGCGCTAGCCTTGAGCTGAAGAGCTGAGGGACAGCGCCCAGGCCCAGAGTTCAGCCCCCACAACCACAAAACAAAAATGAAACAAAAAGCAACAACAACTTTTGGTTCCCCAAAAGTCAAACTAACTTCCTTATTTGAGATTCTTAGACATGTTGCCCAATTCTCTTTTGCTACGTAAGGAACATATTCACGATACTTGGGACTAAGACATGGGAACCAATGTTATGTCTGTCACAAACTCTTTATTGTACAAATATTCTCCTCCACAGGCATTTTCTGGGCTCTGGAGAAAACGTGTTACTATGCCATCCCACCCCACCCCACCTCAGTGTACCCCACCCCACCTCAGTGTACCCCACCCCAACTCCCTTCCCTTCCCTTCCCTTCCATTCTATCTCATTATATTCCTTCCCACCCTATCCCGACCACTCACCACCCACCACATCCCATTCCTCCCCTCCTCTCTCCTCTTCCTCTTCCTCCTCTCCCTTTTCTTCCCCTCCCCTCCCTTTCTTTCCTTTCCCTCCCTGCCCTGCCCTCCCCTCCTCTCCTCTCCTTCCCTCTCCATTTTAAGAATATCTAAGGATGAAAGGGAGGCTTCAGAGTTCTTGCTGTTACCTGATTCACCTCTTGGCTATGGCAAAAGTCCTCCATATCCTCCTTCCAAGTGCTCCTAACTTCAGTGCTTAGTTGAGGAGTCGCAAAATCGTCTTGCCTGTAGAAGGTGGTAATCGCACAGCAGAGCCAGGTCAGAGGTGGTGCAGGAAAGCAAAGACACTTTACTGGGGCTGAAGGTTTTCCGTATAGAATGCCTGCAAAGCAAATACAAGGCCCCGAGTTCAAACCTCAAGGGCACTGGGGAAAAAAAGTCACTTCAATTAAGCCAGGTGCCCTGGCATGGGTGAGAATGCCGACCCAGCTTCTCAGTCGGCAAGTCTCCACCCTGCCTTCTCTTCAATCTGCTCCCCACATGCGCCAGCAGGCCCAGCAAACCCAGACCCCCAGAGGAGCCCACCTGGGTATGGCCTCCTCACCTGTCCCTGGAGTCCACCCTGCCTGTGAACCAATAAATCAATTTCACGTTGGCTGAGGAAACTCACACCAGCTGTCTTCATGGATTTTCTGGAAAACAACAATAACAACAACAACAACCAGGGTTCACAGGATCCTCTGAGGAAGCCACGTCGCTTCCTTTACCCGAGCAAACGTGGTGACCATTGAGGACACTTTGCCATGAATAAGCCTCACCCAACATGCTAGACATGAAGGAAAACAACAAACCGACAGAGTCATCCAAAACAATGGTCCCCAAAATAGTCAGCCTGGAGGGTGTCCTAGATACTTGGACTCGCTCACAAAAGCAGTGTGATGCCCAAGTCTGGCATTTCTGGAGTCTGAGGATGTATGTGAAGCAGGTGGGAGCATTGCTGTTTTCCATCCTAAATTAATGTGCCTCGTGTACACAAATGCATCTTGGCTTGGATTTCTTTCTTTCTTTTGTGGCAGGTCCTGGGGCTTGAACTCAGGGCCTGGGCACTGTCCCTTAGTTTTTTTCATTCAAGGCTGATACTCTACCACTTGAACCACAGCCATACTTCTGGCTTTTTTTCCCCCTGATTAATTGGAGATAAGTCTTATGAATTTTCCTGCCTGGGCTGACTTTGAATTGCTTCCTGCGTAGCAGGGATTGCAGGAGTGAGCCATCACTGCCTGGACTGATTGACTTCTTAATAGCTCAGATTCTGCTGTTCTATTGGAGCTCCACCAACTTGTACAAGATGTGAGAAAAATTACCTCTTCTACAAATATGAAAAAAATGTCCTGCAGACAAATTGAGATAATCTTCCCATTTCTGGAGGGAATCAGGTTTGTGGAAGATGAGAAGGGACTTCTGTCCCTTGGGAGAAGGTTGAGTCTGTTCATAAACAGGAAGGCTTCTAGCTTCACCCTGTGTGTGCAGTAACGCATGAAGTGCTAATGTAAATCCAATACTGAGCCAACTTTATTAAAACAATTTAACACGCAACATTGCTCCTTTCAAACTCATTATTTGTAAGTATTTTAAACCCCAGAAAATAAACTTTAGTTCCCTTTGGGCCATCTAAGCCTATTGCCTTTTATTGTTTTTCTTTATGTTCTGGCTTACCAAGAACATTTTTGGTTTAAGACAAAATCATCCTACTTTTCCCCTTGATAAAAATAAATCAATTGTTTTTCAGACATATCTCCCTATTTTTACAGATTTTTTAATCTTTCTCAAAAAAGTCAGAAAAGTCCATGAGACTCATGTCTCCAAAATTAACCAGCAAAATGCTGCAAGTGGAAGTGTGACTCAAGTGGCAGAGCACCAGTCTTGAAGAAGCTATGCAGGAGTGTGAGGCCATGAATTCAAGCCCAGTACTGGCACACAAAAAAGTTAGGATATACATGAACATAACCGAAAGGCTTTTGTGTAAGCTCTTCAAACTGTTTCTGTTGTTTATGCTTCACTGTGTTAAACAATAGAAAAGATGTATATAGATAGATAGATATACACACACACACACATATACACACACTTATATATACACATTGTGTGTGTGTGTGTGTGTGTGTGTGTGTGTGTGTGTGTGTGTGTGTGTGCCAGTCCTGGGGCTTGAACTCAGGGACTGTGTGTCGTCCTTCTACCACTTGAGTCATAGCACCACTTCCGGATTTTTCTGAATAATCTATTGGAGATAAAAGTCTATGGACTTTCCTGCCTGGGCTGGCTTTGAACCACCATCCTCAGATCTCAGCCGCCTGAGTAACAAGTATTGCAGATATGAGCTACCAGCGCCTAGAAAGGCTATTTTAAAATCATGTTTATTTCTCAAGGACACAATAATACTGATTAGTCATCCAAATTCTTATTAATATAAAGGTTTAAATTTAAATAAAGATTTAGAAATTAAAGTCTCAGGTAATACATTGTCAGAGTAATTTTTTTTTTTTTGTTGGTCATAGGGCTTGAACTCTGGGCCTGAATGCTGTCCCTCAGCTCTTCAGCTCAAGGCAAGCACTCTACCACTTGAGCCACTGCACCACTTCCAGTTTTCTGAGTGGTTTATTGGAGATATGAATCTCATGGACTTTCCTGTCCAGACTGGCTTGAACCAGATCTCAGCCTCAGATCCTCAGATCTCAGCCTCCTAAGTAGCTAGGATTACAGGCATGAGCCACTGGTGTCTAGCTAAGTCAGAGTGATTTTTAGCATTAGAAAAAGTAATTTCTTTTAGTCGTATGTATGTATGTGTGTGCTAGTTCTGGGGCTTGAATTCAGAAGCTTTCTTCAGGCTTTCTTGCTCATGGCTGCTGCTCTATCACTTGACCCATGCCTCTAGTTCAGCTCTCTGGTTGGTCATTCTAGAGATGAAGCCACATGGACTTTTCTGCCCAGTGTGGCTTCAAATTTCAGTCCTCCACATCACAGCCTCCTAAGTAGCTAGGATTACAGGCATGAGCCACAGGTGTCGGGCAAAAGTAATACCTTTTAGTAAAGATAATTGGTTATGATCATTAAGTTAGTACTTTATTTTGTAATTTCATAACCTAAATAAATCAATGTTAGTTATTTTTCTACCAGCAAAAATAATGGAAGGGGCTGGGTGCCAACGGGTCATGCCTGTAATCCTAGCTACTCAGGAGGCTGAGATCTGAGGATCCCATTTCAAAGCCAGCCTGGGCAGGAAAGTCTATGTGCCTCTTACTTCCAACTAACCACCAGAAAACCCGAAGTGGCACAGTGGCTCAAGTGGGAGAGGCGCTCTTAGGTGATTTGGCAGGGACAGCCTGCCCCCGTGCCAGGAGAGAGAGAAGGACAAGCCGAGAGAGCAAAGAAAGGCTGAACACACAGAACCTCTGGCCTTTTACCATTGCGTCGGCAGAAATTGTCCAACATCATGTGGGCTGGAGGTTTGCTCTCGCCCTCTCTCAATAATCCCTCTTCCCTTGACCCACGTGCGAGTTTCCTTTCAGCCACCCTTACAGAAACCAACCACAAATTCTCCAGAAAATGCTGCTCTTGGTTTGTGACCTACAGATTTCTGGCCTTACAGGTTGCAAATAATGCCACTTCCTGGCAAGCCAGGAATATTAGCAAATATGGGAATCCAAGAGAAAGTAGCTCCGAGAAGAATTTCATATAATTACTTGGCACACACAAGCGCCAGTGTTGAGGGTGCTTCTGACAAAGTCTCCAGACAGATACTCCCTGGGGCCCCTACTTCACCTGGTGCTAGTTTGGAAAAGCAATGTGCCAATCCACAGCTCTTTTCGAATAGAAGTAAATGCTGGTGAAATCAAACAAAATAGCTTAATGATGCTGAATAAGAGAATTGTTAAGCAACTTACACACTTTAAGATTTTTTCCATAAGAAAGGAAAGGCAATATTGCTCTCAGCTTTGCATCGGACTACAGACCATTACAAGATGCGGGTTGAGGAGGGGGGTGCAGGGTCCTGCAGACCCGCTCCCCCAATAAGCAGGTTAGCTTGATAGGTTCTGGACTCTGAAACAATGAGCTTTGACTTTCCCCTATGAATTTGCAGTCCTGAGAAGATTGATTTGGTACCTGGTTTTTGCCAGGCTGCTGAGTGAAAATGTGTGGTCACAGTGGAGAACTTGCTAGAACACAGTGGTTTACACAATCCAGGCAGTCTTGCTCATTTTTTCCCTTCTTAGCAGCTGTGTTTGCATTTGACAAGCCATTCTTTCTGAATTCTGACTCCTTTTCGCTTTCCACAATTTGTATTCTTTTCTTTTTTCTTTTTCTTTTGCCAGTCCTGAGGCTTGAACTCAGGGCCTAGGCACTGTCCCTGAGCTTAAGGTTGGCACTCTACCACTTGAGCCACAGTGTCACTTCTGGCTTTTTCTGTATGTAGTACTGAGGAATCAGACTCAGGGCTTCATGCATGCTAGGCAAGAACTCTACCACTAAGCCACATTCCCAATCCGACCATTTATATTCTTTACTATTGTGTGTTTGCCTGTACCAGGGCTTGAACTCAGTGCTCTGACCTCTCGCTTAGGCTTTTTCTCCTCCAGGCTGGTGCTCTACCCATTAAGCCACACTCCCATCTCCAGTTTTCTACTGGTTAAGTATAAATAAGACTTTCACAGGTTACCTGGGGCTGGCTTCAAATCACTATCCTCAGATCTCAGTCTCCTGAGTAGCTAGGATTACAGGTGTGAACCGCCAGTGCCTGGCCCACAATTGTTTTCTTGTTTAAATGTTTCTGCTTCCCCTTGAATGTTTTCATAAGTACCTATTACACATTAGAAACTGGCATGGACAGAGGCTGAAATCTGACCCAGTCCTACCTTATTGACTCTGTAGTTTGGCTAATGACGCAGATGTTAGTAAACTGCCACATCCGTGTATACTTGCGCTGGGCTGTAATGGCACTCTCCATGGGCTGTTCTTCCTGGAGATGAGACACCTTCAAGCTTCAATCAGAAGTGCCGTGGACCAGCTGTGTCAAGCTGTCTCTGAGGGAAGACATAGGAGATTTAGGAAAACACACACACACACCCCTTAGAGAAAGCTAGGACCAAGTAGGATGTCAGCACCCAGAAATCTGAGGGACTAAAGCAGCCCAGGTTCCGGTTTAACGTATTTATTTATTTATACAATTGTGGGTTTTTTTTTTTTAATAAGGCAGGGAAGGGACAGATTAAGATATTTATAACAAGTTGCATTCAGTAGGCATGGTTAGCTTTGGCAATACAGGAAACAGAAGGCCTGTGGTTAGAGACAGCTGAGCTCAATGACTTTAAAGGTGGAGATGAGGAAAACATCCTCTTTTTACGCCTCGTGGCTGATCAGCTCTTGCTACTTCAGGCCATGGGCAGGGGTGACAAGGCTCAGGACTGCTGCCCCAAGAGCTCATGACTGCCCCCAGCACAGAGAGATGGGGATAAACTGGTCAAAGAAGCTAGGTGGCATCTCTGGGCAGCTTGCCTTGATGCACGCTCTGAGCAGGCATGCTGGCTAGAGGCTGTTCCCAGCTGCTGTTTGGTGGTTTGTGTACCAAACAGCCTAGGAAGATAGAAACAGTACTTCTGAGAAAAAGACAGCCTGTGTGCCGTCCAGTGTAATAGAGATAACGTCTCCCTCCAGCGTAGGCAAGGCCTTTGTGGCAAAAGGCCTTGGTTCCTTAACCTAGAGCAGCTCCAACATCACTCCTATGGCACCTAGGCTCCAAGTCCGCTCCAAACGTGAAGTTCATGTTACTGTGAGTGAATGGCCAAAGCCCTTAGTCTCGACCTGGGATCTGACAGGATCCATGGAACTGAAGCATAAATCTCAGACCCTTTCAAGCTGTGGAGGGGAAGTAGCTGGCACGTGTGGATTTGAAAGGCGACCCGCTTGAGTGGAGTAGAGGGAGGGGAGGGAAGTGATGTGAGATAAGGTGAAAGGTAATGACCCGTGAGGTGAGTCCCTTGTTTTGTCACCAGATGCCGGTGAAAGTTTGTGAAGTTTCCTTCTAAAAGTAGGGACTCCGGCTGGGCGCTGGTGGCTCACACCTGTAATCCAAGCTACTCAGGAGGCTGAGATCTGAGGATTGTGGTTCAAAGCCAGCCTGGGCAGGAAAGACCATGAGAGTCTTATCTCCAATAAACCACCAGAAAACCGGAAGTGGCGCTGTAGCTCAAGTGGTAGAGCGCTTGCCTTGAGCTGAAGAGCTGAGGGACAGTGCCCAAGCCCAGAGTTCAAGCCCCATGACCGACCAAAAAAAAAAAAGGTAGGGACTCTTCACTTGGGATCCTTGACTTTGATCACAGAATAAGAATTTCCGGGCAAGTTGCGATAATAAGAAACCTTGGTGGAGCTTTATTGAGAAACTAAGCAAGCAGACCAGCAGACCAGCAGGGCGGCAGGGGCACACTCTAGCAGAGTGTGGATGCTCTCAAAGGGAAAGAAAGAAAGAGCGAGACACAGCTGCGTGGCTGGTAGGGGTGTTTATAGGGTAAAGGCATGAGTCTGCCTTCAAAGTAATGAAAAGACAGGCATTTTGCCTTTGCTCTAATGACACCTGGTATTTCCTTTTCTGAGTTTCTGCATGTTGGAGTATTCTTTCCAGGTAAGAATTCATCCTGCCATAAAACAGATCTTTATCCTTGAGATAAAGATCCTATTGTCTGCATTTTGGGTAAGTTTGCTTAAGTTTGGAGCATTTGTTCCAGGAAGGTATACATCCTACCAGACAAATGTGAATTCTTGGAGTGAGAAATGCATCTCTCAGGAAGGAGTGCATCCTATTGTCTCCCTTTGAAGCATTTAGTGCTTCTGTGTTTCTAAATACCATGTTTCTGACTTGCCTTCACCAGACCTCATTTTCTTCAATTCACCATGCCTCATTTTCCCCTAAATGACTTTGGAATGAATATCTCCTGTATTTGCTGTAAGCTTTCCATACCTCATTTTCCCCTTGTCTATCCTGCTTCAGTTTGAGACAGAAAGTGGGTGAACAATCTTGGCAATGCCATTATCCTACAGAATGTGTGGAGTTAATAAACTGAGCTTAAGGTCTCACAGGACCAGAAGCCAAGGCTCCCCAAGCCTGTGAGATAATTTTTATGATGATAGAGATGAAAATAGGAAGTGTTTTCTTCATGTCCTTCATCCTGTTGGGAGAATTTTTGCCTGCAGATGCTACTACACTGTATCTATCAGCGTTAGAAGGAAGTCCTCCTTACAGTGCCCCCCAGTAAGCAGGGAAAAATTCTCATTGGCTGCGATGTCTGTCAATCATCTCAGGTACAAAAGCAGTCAATGAAGGGAGGGGCTGTTGGGGCTTTAGAGAGAAAGAAAGGGAGAGAGGGAGAGAAAAGTGGGGCCCGGGCAGCCCTCCCTGGAAGGAGGCTACCGTCAGATCACTTTGTAAAAACAAAGGGACTTGATTGAGAAGCCTTTTTGGCTCATTCTGGCCCTGGGAGTTCTAAACTTTTCACTCACTGTCAATTAATTTACAGTGAACACAGAATGGAGTTGTTCTGCAACTTTGGCCAAAACAATTTAAAAAGGAGGAGGCAAAGGGGGAGAGGGGAGGAGAGGGGAGGGGGAAAGAAGAGAGCAAGGAAAAGGAGGAGGGGGAAACAAAGCAGGAGGCTGCAATGCTTGATAAGAAATGTGCTCATTATCTTGCCCATGTCATTGTAACCCCTCTGTACAGTATTTTCACAATAAAAGAAAAAGGAGGAAGAGAAGGATCCAGAAACAGGAGCTAACCCACGCAGAGCTTCCTTAAGACACGTCGTGTGGTTGTGGCTGTGGTTGTGGTACAGGGGCCCGGACACCAGGGCTTCCCACAAGATGAGCCACTCTTGCTCTTGGCCTGGGCTTAGGGAAGGGCGGCTTCCTGCCCCTTCCTGATGGGGGCGCTCTGTGCCCTGCTCCTGGTCCTAATTTACTCTTGTGTTTAGGCCGTGATACTTCACTGTGGTCTAGGCTTGGTCTTAGCCGGCATTTTAGAAAGGGGTAGCAAGCATCAGGCCTCCAAACATTCTCAGAAATTTCTCTCTCTGGCTTCTTTCCCGTTTGGTAATCAGCACATAAATTGCTAAAGTGTGCATGAAGAGAGGTGGTACATCCCTCGTGCCCACTCAGCCCCTAGGTTCTCTGGCCCTAGACTGGACCATGTAGCGACAGAATGTGTGAGGGGAGGGCCCGCCAGGCAGGCAATATAATAACAGCCTTGTTCGAGGGCTGTGGCTTACATAACTCAATTCTGCTCAGCATCATCCTGGCAACAGGCCTGGGCAGAGAGGGCTGGAGGAACACAGGTAGCAGCTGCCAGAAAAGCTGGGAAGCTACTGGCAAGTACAAGTGGCCAGGGAAGGAGCAGGAGGAAAGTTTGGGAAATGTGGGCAAGCCCTATCCTTTTATCATACCCCCCTTTCCCTTCATTCCCTCTCTCCCCCCCACCCCCCACCCCCCATCCCCCCGCCAAGCTGGCAGGTGTTTTAGGAAGGTCTGGCCCAACATTTTCAAAACTCCAAGCTTTCTCAATCCACTAGAGGACCACAGGACGCCTCCACCTCCTCTTGCCAGCCTGGGGATTGACTCACAGCTCAGTTCCTGCGAAGGACCTGCCTGGGACTGCGGTTGTGGTGGTGGTGGTGGGGGGGGGGGGGTAGGGAGTGGGTTGCAGTGGGATGGTATAAAAAGGAAGCGTGGGGCCCAGGGAAGAGGCCCTGTCTAGGCAGCGAGGTCCCCGGATCCCACAGGCAATAGAGGGGTGCCAGGCATACCCTGCTCAGCTGCAGCCAGGATGGGCCCAAGGGTGTCTTCAGCAGGTCTCTGGGCTGGCCAAGGCCAACTGGATTTAGCAGGGGCGGGGAGGGGTGGAGGCTGTGAAGGGGCCAGACAGCAAGCCGTGGGGAGGGGAGAGGGAAGTGGGGGAGGAAGAGGCTGGTGTCTCTGGTGTCTTCCTGGCCTCGGGTGGGGGCAGGAAGGATGGATGCAACTGCCTGGAGTTTGACTCTGGATTTCCCTTCAGGCTTTGTGGTCCTGGTGCTGCTCCAATGCTGTGAGTACCCCACCCTTCCCCCCCCCACCCCAGCTCCACATTCTGACTCCTGGAGTGGGGTGCAGGCTCAGGGCCGTGGAGGAAGAGCTCTTGGCACAGGGGAACACCCTTCCAGTTCCTTCTATGACCCAAATGCTTGGAAATACTCAGACTTGCTCAACCAAGATGGTGAGCATCTGGGAATTGATCTCACTTCAAAAAACAACCAGCATGCACTGGTGGCTCACGCCTGTCATCCTAGCTACTCAGGAGGCTGAGATCTGAGGATCATGGTTCAAAGCCAGCCCAGGCAAGAAAGCCTGTGAGACTCTTATCTCCAATGAACCACCAGAAAACCCGAAGTGGTGCGGTGGTTCAAGTGGTAGAGCGCTTCCCTTGAGCTGAAGAGCTGACCGTGCCCAGGCCCAGAGTTCAAGCCCCATGACCGACCAAAAAAAAAAAAAGAAAAAGAAACTTGAAAAGGCTCCAGTTCAGTGAAGGCCTTGGCTAGCAGCCCAGGGGACCCCTCGCAGGAGCTGTCCCAATGAGGGATACTACTGCTTTTCCCTGTCACCAAGGGCTTCATTTGCAGCAGGAGGAATTTGAATAAGAGAGAAGGAAGAACTTCCTGTTCCTTCATCACAGATAGTGTGCCCCTCCATCTGGAGACAGAAGAGCAGCCAGCATCTCTTCCTGAGTCATAGACCCCACTGCAGTGTCAAACTTGAAGGCCAAGGGCGTCTGTGACCCTGGCTGTCTTGAGCTAGATCTCTGCCTTCTCACGTAGCCACTGTCTCCGGGAAGTCCTCAGTGCTAGCACGTAGTCCCATTTCCCATTTGTTCATCGGCCTTCCCCCCACTCTGCCACACACAATGCTGGCTACAACTCTACAGCGTGTTCATCCATTACCTGTGAGCTTTTCCAAGCATTTTCAGACTAGGCCTTGTTTCTATCAGACAGGGGGGCTCCCCAGGGACAGGGAACTGGAGCCAGCGGCCCTCCCTCAAGAAATCTCATTTTGGGGGTTGGAGGTGGGGCATAGCTGGTAGAGCACTAGC